TCTTTCTACCCCTTACTTCTCCAAATTCCATATACTTAGTCTTACTAACATTTAACTCCAAACACTTCCTTCTTAAATATCTTTCCAACGCTCCCATCATATCTTTTAATGCACTATGGTTCGTGGCTATTAATGCAATGTCATCAGCATACGACATGATCCATATCTTCTTTCTATCTACCACTACCCCACCCTCCCTTATTTAAATCACTTAGATATATATTAAACAGTTGTGTACTCAACTTACACTTTTTTCCATCCAAAATTTCCTTGTTTCTTTACCACTTAATCTTACAATTCCTGCAATTTTCCTATGTATTTCCATTATTCTCCCAATTAACCATTTTTCAATTTTACCCATCCGTAACATGTTTATCAATTCCCCTCTGTCTACCGTGTCAAATGCCTTTTTAAGTCCACAAATACTACAAACACCTTTTTTTAATATTTAAATATGATTCGATAATATTCTTTAACAAAAAGATAGCATCTTTAGTACTCCTTTCCTTTCTAAACGCAACTTGTGTTTCCCTTAAAATATCATTTTGTTCAATCATCTCCCCTAGTTTACTGTTGATTATAGCGGTATATATTTTATACCCCGAGTCCATGACTGTAATACCCCTATAATTTTTGACATTATTCCTTCCATCCCTTTTATACACTGGTACTATTGCACCACATTTCCACTCATCAGGTATTTCATTATTTTTCCATATCCCTTTAAACATCTCATATAATTTATCGCATATTAAATCTCCAGCATATATCCAAGCCTCACCTGGTATCCCATCCTGCCCACAAGCCTTTTTTTGTCAACGAATTTATGCCTTTCATAGCTTCACCTATTACATACATGGTATCTTTCTCTCCTCTTCTCCTACCTCCCTTATCATGTAGTCTTCTGCAATCAACTCCTCTCTTCCTTCTAACACTCCTTTAAAGTGCCTGTACCACTCTTCATCTGATATAATTCTACTTATACCTTTCTCTTTTTTGTTTTTATATAAATTAACTATTTTCCAAAATTCTTCAGTTCCTTGGCCATATTGAATTTTTTTATCAACTCGTCACTATACTCTTCCCTACTTTTTTTAATCTGGTCCTTATATTCCCATCTCATTTTTTTATATTCCAACTCTTCACATTCATTATTCCTCCACTTACCTAATGCCCTTATATATTCTTTCTTTTTCCTCAAACATGCAGAGTTCCGCCATCTATTATTGTTACTTCTCACCTCTACTCTTTCCTTAATCATACATTCATTAACTATTTTTATCATCTCTTTCCAATGGTGAATTTCATTCACTCTCTCATTTATATTTTTTCTGTATTTTTCAATGGCTCCCGCTGTCCATTTAATAACAAGTTTATTCACACATTCCTCTCTACTATCATTCACTTCTTTCTTCCACTCAATTGCTATTGGTAAATGGTCTGATCCTATCATACCCATGACTTCAAACCTATCAATTTCTTCCCAAGCTTCCCCATTAACCATATCGTAATCTATCACCGTTTTTCCTTTCCCTAAAAAAAGTATATTCCCCATTTCTATCCCCTTCTGTAGTTCCATTTAATATCGCCAGTCCATTCCTAGTTCCCCATTCTATGAATTCCTTCCCTTCCGTATCAACATATTTATCCCTTCAATTTCTTATATACGAAAGTTATCCTCCCTTACTGCACATACTTCATTCCCAATTCTTATATTAAATCCTCAACTAACATTATGTTATAATTCCTACTGAATTGAATTTTTTCTTCTATATAATCTAAATTACTTTTTTTCTTTTTGTTTAAAAAATACCCACATTATCTTATATATCAACCCTCTTATCATTACTAATTCATCATTAATTTCCGTTATCTCAAGTTTGAGATATTTTTTTATTCCCGCCAACAAACCTCCTTTAGCTCTGCCTTTTTTCCAGCTCTTGTAACATCAATAAATNCTTTTTTTTCAGTTCTTGTAGCATTAATAAATGCCCAATTGTAACTATCATCTAAATTACTCTGTATGCGTCCTATATCTTTACACTCGAGCCAAGTTTCACATAAACAAAGTATCTCATAATTTTTTAAAAAATCCCAAAAACTATTATCTTTATTCTTAACCCCCACTGCATTCCACGCCACTAGGTTAATCTTCCTTTTAGGCACCAATCTCACAAGCCCCCTCGTATCTTTCTCCATTATCCCGAAATGTCTTATTTTTTGCTTTTATCATCCTCTTGTTTTCATCGTCCCATACCCACAGTACCTCCCCTAATTGTATCTCTTTTTATAACCCACCCTGATTTCTTTACCATGATTCTTCTCCTTTTCGTGTAGCCATTAGCCTTATAATGTTTTCTATTTTCCTCTCCTCTATTGTCAAATCCTCCTTAATAAATATGCTTGTTCCTCTCAGATTCTTCTTGTTTCTCAAAATTTTTATTTTTTGCTCCCAACTTGCAACCTTCAAACCAAACATCTTTTCTTTTATTTTCTAAATTTCCAAGATTACTATTTCAACTTTCAGCTTCTCTTTAGAAATACTTTTGTAGATGTAGGAACTAAATAAAACTTTATTTGAATGTAATACAGTAAATACAGTAAATGCACAAATGTGAAAACTCTAGGCTCAGTTCTCATCTAAACTAGGTAGTCGATTTACATGCACCGTGCACAAAATGACCAAATGCGTCACCACTTAGAAGTCTCTAACTCCGCCTATTTACTACAATTTTAAGGTGTATATATGAATCACTTAAAACTAAATAAGGATCAGAGAACTCACTTTTAAAATTTTTCTTAACACCCTCCCTAGATCTCTGGATCCTTGTACAATAAAAAAAAAGATTACAATAAACTTTTATTCTTAAGACCTAGCTTACCTACTAAATTTTCAAAAACAGGCTTTGATAAAGCCTTCGTAAATACATCAGCAATTTGTTCTTTACTTTTAATATAGCTAACATCTAATTATTTTCTGTTATATAGATCACGAATAAGATGATACTTAATTTCTATGTGCTTACTCCTTTGATGAAATTCGGGGTTTTTTATAAGTTTAATCGCAGCAGTATTGTCTACAAATAATACATAATTATTGATGTTTATTTCACAATGTCCGAATAACCGTTTAAAACATACAATCTCTTTAGCTGCGACAGCTGCGCTCACATACTCTGCTTCAGTCGTTGACTGCGCAATACATGCCTGTTTTTTACATTGCTACGTTACCGCAGCATTCGCATACATGCATACTACCCCAGACACAGATCTCCGAATCTGTTTATCCCCAGTATAGTCAGTATCACTAAATTCACTGAAATCTCCTACAGATTCATACAATAATCCCATATTCATAGATCCCTTTAAGTATCGCAAGATGCGTTTCACCAGCATCCAATTACCCTCGGTTGGATTTTCTAAGTCTCGTGTTACAACATTTACCGGAAACCTTATATCGGGCCTGCTTACTGTTTGTAAAAATATCAAACCACCAACCACTTCTCAATAGGGCGCTTCACACTTTTTCTTATTCAACAAATTTTCACTCCAATTACATTCGATCGGTGTCGAAACAGCATTTGCTTCATTCATATTAAACTTGGTCAACATGCTTCGAAAATAATTAGTCTGACATATAATATTGATTCATCAGGCAACCTAGAAAACTCAA